CCCCCCCCCCCTCAGACCCCCCCCTCCCCTCCCCCCCTCAGAAAGTTTTATTGCTCTGTAGCCCATTCTGGCTTGGACTTCACTATTCTACCCAGGCTGGCCCTAGACTCACGGAGATCCTACTTCCCCAGTGGGAGTCTTCTTCATACCTGGCTTGCCTTTCTTTTTAGATCTTTTCACCCTCAAGCAGTGTTCTGCCTTCTTGCCTTTCTTCAAAATTGTGTTTGAGGAGATCATATGCTTGCAGCTGATTCTTTTCCGGGAGAAGCAAGCAGCTAAGTCATATATGTGGGCACAGTTTAATTTCGGGAGTTCTTTTATTTTGGAGTTGAATGCATCCCTTTTTTGCTCCACATCGTTTGCCAAGTCACATCACAGTCCACAGACCTGAATAGTTGAGCATAAAAATCCAGTTTAAGATTTAGTCATTATAAAACAAACTTTATTGCATCCAGGAACTTGTCAGTGGTTAGATATTTGGTTTATCTTGATTTTGTTCACTCTTTGTTACCAGATAAGAAAATGGCCAGACTGTTTAAATACTTCCCTTGCTAAGGGCCTTGTGATGATGACAATTTTGTGCCTTCTCATTTATCAGATACCAGGCTGTCTCTACAGTCTCATTAGCCCAGGGAGTCCTGGCACTAGTACTAATGGCTTCTAAAGTTGAATCTCATCCGTGACATTGGTTACCATACCTACAGACTAGATTTGGGGAAAAGTAAATTCCATGACAAGGAAATGCCTTTATTAAGGAACTCACTGTCCATAATTGTGGTGGCACACGGAAATGCCAAGGTAGAAGAATCACTTGAGCCCAGGAGTTTGAACCAGGTCTGGGTTAAGTTTCTCGACTCCATCTCAGAAACATTTACCTTTTCCTATGATTATATTTTATGATGTAATTGGGTTTGTCTAGAATTTTGGAAGAGTAGAATAAATTTTGATAAGTCAAAAATGAGTAGATTTGTAAACAAAATGTCAGGATTAAGTATATATGCATGCTTAAGACATTTCCTTTTGGTGAGGTTTTTCCATAGTAAAAAGAGGTTTCATTTACCTTCCTTTGATTTCTTGTTTCCTTCCCAGCAATGTTGGTAAGTCCTATAACTCAAATATGAGATGAAAGAGGAGAATAAAAATGCCAGATGAGTCGTTCCCTTCATCTGTCGGGACTATGTCATCGACATAAACCCTTGTGAAAAGTGAATGGGTGAGGAGATTGCCTGATTTTTGTGTGCCTTTCTGGCAGGATGTGAAATGAGCTTCTGAATACATCAATTTCTCAGTTGGGTGATTGGTTCTTGCAGAACTAGAGATTGTCCTAGAGCCCCATGCATGCTGAGGCAATACTCTACTGCTATTGTATATCCCTTGTCCTATGTTTATTTTCATCTTACAGAATCTTGCTGAGCTGCCCAGGCTAGCCATGAAGTTACACTCCTTTCTACACCTCCTGAGCACTAGGGATTACAGCCGTGGAGCAGCAAGGCCAGGCCCAGATCAGTTGTGAGCTATTATAGCCACCTATTTTGTCAGCACTGTAGGGGATAAAGACATTTAGGGACGGCTCTTTACCACTGAGATACATCCCCATCTCCAGGCTTGTGCTCTTTATACACCTGTGATCTTCCCACGTAGGCACAGAACTGGAGGTTCTTCAGGCTTGCGTGCCAAGCACTGTAACCCATCTTGATAGCCTCATGGTTTTTGCTTTTTAAATACGGTCTCATATAGTTATATAGTCCTAACTGGCCTGGAACTCACTGTGAAGACCAAATTGGCCTGGGACTTAATGTTGCTGCTTCTCCTCCTATCTTTACTTCCTGAATGCTGGGATTAGAATAGGCCTGCACCATGCCCTTCTCTTTTATCTTCTTTCATATATCACATCCCGACTGCATGTGGTCCGCCCACCGTTTTCCCCGCCTTCCTTCTCCATATCTCCCACTGTCTCTCCCCTCGGAAAAGGGCCTAGCTCTTAGCTCTTCTCTCTCTCTCTCTCTCTCTCTCTCTCTCTCTCTTTCTCTCTCCTGTTTTTTTTTCGGGGGGGGGGGTGGTTTTTTGAGACAGGATTTTTCTGTGAAACAGTCCTGGCCTCCAACTCACAGAGATCTGCCTGCCTCTGCTTGGATTAAAGACATGCACTGCTACCACTTGACCTGCCTAGCTCTTTTTTTTAATTTTAAAAACTTTTCTAATTAATTTTATTTTTGACATGCTGGCCTGGAACATACTGTGTATCCTATGGTCCTCTTGAATTTTGCTCTGTAGCCTGGGCTGTGCTCAAGCTCATAAAATATTCCTTCCTGCTGTAGCTTGCTGAGTACTGGGATCAGGCTTGAGCAAAAGCAAACAGTTTTATTTTAGAATTTAAATGACTGCTTATCAAAATAACCAAGTCTTTAGTCCATATGTATACTAGAACAATCTTGGGAAGAAATGCTATTGGCTTTCCTCTTTAAAAAAAAAATTACCCTGCAATTAGAACAGCAAGCTTAATTGTTAAAGTCAAACACCATAAATATTGGCAGTTTTGTCTACATTTTTCTCTTCAAATTCTAACTACAACCATATCATTACTCTCATCCTTTGAGTCTAATGTTATGGTCATATTTTGGTGTTGGACAGCATTAAAATGTAAGGGCTCAGGCTGGAGAGATGGCTCAGTGGTTAAGAGCACTGGCTGCTCTTCCCCAGGACCAGGATTCCATCCCCAGCACCCTCCTGGCAACTCATAACCACTCCATTTCCAAGGAATCCAATGCTTACTTCTGGCCTCTGTGAGCACCAAGCATGCACATGGTGTGCACACCCATACACATAAAATAGTTAAGCAATTTAAAAATGTAAAGGCTTGTAATTTTGAATGAATCCGTGCTGAACACACACTGAACATTCATTGAGAATTCAAAACTATCAGAACAGTCTAAAAGAATCTTATTTAAATTTTTATTTCAAAAGCTCTTTATAGGAAATTGAATGCTCTTTAAAAAGAATATTGGCAACACTGTGTTTCTTTTCATTTTTTTCTATATATAAATACAGATTGAGGATTGCTCATATGAAATACTTGGAATCTGATGTTTCTAATTTTATATTTTTTTGGTTGCAGTATTCACATACATAATGAGATATGTTAGAGATGTGACCAAAGTCTAAATGCTGAATTTATGTTTCACATGAGTAGTGCAGGCATAGCTTGAAGAAAATTTTATATAATATTTTTAGTATACCTTTATTTTGACTGTACTCCATCATATGAGGTCAAGGTGGAATGTTCTATTTATAGTATAAAGCTTGCCTGACAAAAGTTTTGGATTTGCGGCTTTTTTTCTCTCTCTCCTGTGTGTGTGTTCACAATTTGTGGACCATTTATTGTAATTGTGTATTTTTCTATTTTTTCTCGTGTTCATGTGTGTTCACGTAGTGAGTATGTGCTATGTGTTTGTGTGTGTAGGCTCAAGTGGTGTTGATAGTTGTTTTTCTCTGCTCTCCTGGTTTATTCAGGCAGGATCTCTCAGTTGAAGCAGTGTTTGCTTATTCGGCTAGTTTGTCTTACCAGCTTGTCCTGGGGGGGGGGGGGGTCCCTTCTCTCAGCCTTTAGAATGCTAGAATTACTGGTGGACAATATTCCCCACCATAAATATTTTCATGGGTTCAGGGATTGAAATTCTGGTCCTTGGGCTTGTGGTGCAAGTGCTTTAACCACTGAACCACCTCCCCAGCCCAGAACTCTCATAGTTTGAAAATGTCAGTATTGAGATACAGCTGTCATTCTTCCTGCTTTGAGGGCATTTCTTTCTTTCTTTATTATTGTTTTTTATTGATCTCTACATTTTTCTCTGCTCCCCTCTCTGCCTTTCCCCTCCCCTTCAACCCTCTCCCATGGTCCTCATGCTCCCAATTTACCCAGGAGATCTTGTCTTTTTCTACTACCCAAGTAGATTAGATGTGTGTATGTCTCTCTTAGAGTTCTCATTGTTGTCTAGGTTCTCTGGGATTGTGATTTGTAGGCTGGTTTTCTTTGCTTTATGATTAAAAATCACTTATGAGTGAGTACATGTGATAATTTTCTTTCTGTACCTGGGTTACCTCACTCAATATGATATTTTCTAGCTCCATCCATTTTCCTGCAAATTTCAAGGTATCGTTATTTTTTTCTGCTGTGTAGTACTCCATTGTGTAAATGTACTACATTTTTTTTTACCCATTTTTCTATCGAGGGGCATTTAGGGCATTTATTTTATCTTTTTAAAATAACATTTTTCAGGCATTGGTGGCACCTGCCTTTAATCTGAGTACTTGGGAGGCAGATGCAGGTGGATCTCTGAGTTTGGGGTCAGGCTGGTCTACAGAGTGAGTTCCAGGACGGCTAAGACCTGTCTTGAAAAAATAAAACCCTGTCTTGAAAAAATAAAAACCAAACAACAACAATAAAATAATATTATCTGTGCATATTTGCAATACATCTTTTATTTTCCAAATTTCTATTTGGGGAAGGGAGTGGGTTCCTAGAAGGGGAATTATAAACCTCTTGTTCACATAGAACCAAGTTACAGAAATAGATAAATATTACTTACTTTATTTTATCTGCATTGCTTAAAGATAAGAAGAATTATATTTCTAAATTAGACTAGCTATACATATATGGAGTTTAAAAATCTATGACAGGAAAAGGTGCTATTTTTCTGTTTTGCCAATTATTTGTTTTAGCTGTGAATCCTTTTCACTCGATGCTGATAAAAAAAAGGCCGTGGCATCTGAGAGGATTCATATTCTAGAGCCTTGTTTTATACACACACACACACACCACCCCCCACCCCCTACCCCCGAAAGCCCGAGGAGCACAGTAAGAGTACAAAAGCAAGTAAAGGCCTGACTCTTGTCAGTGATTGACTAGTTATTGTTAAGTGTGGCAGACAGGCTTCATGTGAAGAATGTCATTATTGCTCAGGGAGGCAAACATATTTCCACAGGATTTTTGCATGCTGAAAGGCAATTCTAATTAAAAACAATTATTTGCAGCTTCCCCCAGCACTGAAGATAGTATCTGGCACTTAGCTGTTACTAACAACTGTTGAATGGGTGAATGAACAAAGGTAGGGAGTGTTATGGAATCACATGGGCTTTGAAGGCAAGAATAAGTAGTTTGTTCAGTATATTGCTGCACCTGGGAGAGAATTTCTGCTTGCTATTTAGAGCTTTTAATTGCAAGACCCGGAAATTTGGTTAATTCTGTTGGGTTGTTTATTATTACTAGTGTATATGTGTATACTTGTTCATATATGTGTATATATGTTCATTTGTACACAAGGATTGGTGTCATATGTCTTTCTCAATCTCCATATTTTTAAATGATATTTTAAAATTTTATTTTATGTCTGTATGTACACCACATACATGCAATACTCATGGTTCCAGAAGAGGGTTTCCGAACCCCTGGAACTGGAGTTTACAGAGGGTTCTGAGTTGCCATGTGGATGCTGGATGCTGGGAACTGAGCCCCAGTCTTCTGTAAGAACAACCACTGAGCCATCTCTCCAGCCCCTAATTTATTATTTTCTTTATATTTATTTATTTATTTATTTATTTATTTATTTATTTATTTTTGAGATAGGATCTGTCATTGAACCTAGAGCTCACTGATTTGGCCAGAGCAGCTGCCCAGTAAGATAGGAACCTCTTATCTACACCTTCTCATCACGGGAATTATATGCTCACATTGCTGTGGCAGTTCTTTTTACATTGGTGCTGGAGCGAAAATGCAGATCCTCCTCAGATTAGTGCCGCGGGAACCTTACCGAGTTGTTCCCCAGTGCTATTTTTAAATGAGGACACTATCCACCTAGTAACCAGGAGATAAAACTAATATTAGAAAATGTTTCAGGGTCTGGGGAAGTAGCTCAGTTGATAAAACACTTGCTGATCTCTGTCCTCAGAACTCAAAACTTGGTGCAGCGCTTGTAACCCAGTGCTGGGAATGGGGACACAGCCAGATAGATCCTTGGGGCTTACTGGCCTGCCAGCCTAGCCTGCTTCGTGAGTTCCAGCCATCGAGACCCTGTCTCAAAACAAAAAAGTGGACAGTTCCTGAAAACTGACACAAGGTTGTATTCTGGTCCAAACACACATGCACATATATGTGTAAATTTAGTGGTTAGTGTATTTAGTGGGTTTTTTTAAGCATGTGTTAAGTTTTCTATATGGGTTTTTCATATAATTCCTCACAGTAACTCAGCCAAAGGTTAAAGACTTTAAAAAATAATCACACTACCCTCAGACTGCAAAAGTCCTTCGTCACAAATATCGTAAGTGGGTTTTGTTAATGTTTTCACGTTGTGTGGTTCTGGGGTTCCTGATGTGACTTCTCTTGTACTTTTGAAGGTGGAACCTAACTTCTTGTGGAACAAGTGTCGCAAGCTCGGAATGTAGTGAGGAGTTGTTTTCGTCCGTTTCCGTGGGGGATCAAGATGATTGCTATTCGCTGTTGGATGATCAAGACTTCACTTCTTTTGACCTCTTCCCCGAGGGAAGTGTCTGCAGTGATGTCTCCTCGTCTATCAGCACTTACTGGGATTGGTCAGACAGCGAATTTGAGTGGCAGGTAAGATTTTCTTTTCCTTCTTACTAACATTCTTATTAGATAAGTGAAAGTGGGTTTTGAGTGGCAGGTAAGGTTTTTTCTTCTTACTGGCACTGTTATTATGTAAGTAAAAGTGGGTTTTGAGTGGCAGGTAAGTCTCCCCCCCACTTGTTAACATCATTATTAAATAAGTAAAGGTGTAAATTCTCTCAAGTTTCTCATTTTTACCTCCAAGTATTTGTTTATTTTAATTTTATTTTTTTGCATGTGCCACTCACCTCTTCTTGGACCTTAATTCTCAGGTTATGAAAAGGTTCAGTCTGACTTGAATTCTTCATGATTGGGAGCTGGCAGGAAGTCACGTTAAAAAGCATAGAGTGCCTTCTATTCTGGTTCCTTTTCAGTGGTACTTGTACCGTTGCTCATAATTGAGTCCTTTGTAAAAAGCCTAAGTTGTTAGCTCCAAGTAGCTGAAACACACATAAGCTATAGGTCAGCCCCATGCTAACGCTAGTGATGGTCTCTTTTCTTGTGTTGACATTCTTTTTGTAATACTGCTCATAACCAATCTGAAATGGAACAGCAATGACTTTGGGGATGAAATCTTCCATCAGTATTCAGTATGGCAGCTCTTCCAGTTTAACATCCATTGCCTTCTCTTTCAGTAGTATGACTAATGCCACCTTGGAGTCTTGGTGAAGTCAATTTTATTTTGTATGTTTTGCAAAATGTGTCATACAGTTAAGAAATAGATGGAATGCGCATTCTATAATTTTGCTAACATGCATTTTGGGCTTCTGATCCTACAGTCATCCTTTCGTAGATTTTCGTGTATTAAGCACTCAGCACTTTACTATGCAAATGTACTCTCCCTATTTCATAATTGATAGCATTCTTGTGCTTAGAAGACACATATCAGATTATATTAGATATCAAATATGATAAGTTGTTTCTATCACAGTCATCTAATTTTTGGTTCTCTTATCCGAAGTATGCTAGTTTATTATTTTATATTCTTTTTTTCACATAGATGTTTTTCTGGCCACAATAATTTTTTTTTCTTGGAGCATATATAATATGTAAAATGTCTTTGTGGCAAGTTGTCTACAAATACTGCATTATAATAAATGTGATATATTAGAAAATGTATGTTGCTTTATTGGAACATCCATTTTGTGATTGTAAAAAAATAATATTAAAAAGTCTTCCCTTGAGCCGGGCGGTGGTGGTGCACGCCTTTAATCCCAGCACTCGGGAGGCAGAGGCAGGTGGATCTCTGTGAGTTCGAGGCCAGCCTGGTCTACAAGAGCTAGTTCCAGGACAGGAACCAAAAGCTACGGAGAAACCCTGTCTCGAAAAATTAAAAAAAAAAGTCTTCCCTTGCATATACTGCATGTTTTATTCAACAGATAAACTTGAATCTCTGATATTTTAACAGTCATATGAATATAAGAACTTGTATTTTTAAAAAGGGTTCAGATATTATTTGAGTTAAAACTATTTTAATGAAATTATGAAATAATACGAGGTGGTATAAATTAAAAGTCTCAAAAACTCTTCTGGTTACCACTGTGAAGAGCTTTTACAGATGGAAGTGTATGTTCCTATATACATAGTATGTATGTTCATATATAAATATTTCACTCAGTAATTGTATGTTTTTTCAGATTCTGAAATATCATTCATTTTCAGAGCCATATTGTAACTATCACAATGTTTGTTAGTTGGCTTCAGTTTTATGTATACATGTGCTATAAAGAGTGCTATGCTAAGCTAAGAGGTTTTAAAGAGGAAAAAATAATTCACCACCCCCATTTTTTGTGTTATTTCAGCTTCTGTTCCACATAGAGATGCAAATATACGTCAGATAAAAGTTTATTTTTTACCTTTAAAAATGATAGAATTCACCATTTAAATAATTTAAAAACATACAATTATATGCTCATTAATATACTCACAATGCCGCATAGGCATCACCACTAATTCCAGGGTATCTCCATTTCCGTAATCGCCCTCTCCCACACTCCCACACAAAGGAACTGTACACCTGTTAAGCACAGAGCTTCACTTACACTCTGCCTTTGTCATCTGGCAAACACCAATCTATTCTGTAGATTTATCTCTACAATGTTTTTTATTATTTTTTGTGTTGTGTTTGTGTGTGTGCGCGCGCACGCATGCACGTGTACCACCATGTGCATGTGGAGATCGGAGGATGAATTCTGAGGGAGTTCTCTCTTTCCACTACGTGCATCCCAGAAATCAAACCTAGGTTGTCAGACTGGACTGTAAGTTCCTTTCCTCTCTGAGCTCTCCTGATGACCTCGGTTTCCTGTTCTCTGTGTAAATGGACGTACACAATTATATAGAGCTGCTGTGCTGTTTTTAAGGTTCATCCATATTTTGGCATGGATTTTATTCCTCTCTGATTTGAATTTCTCCATCTTGGTCTATACTCGATGTTTATCTTTTTTATTTCAACCAGCATGGTGAATGTGAAGTGGTTTGGTTTCACATTTCTCTGATGTGTAGTGTTGAGCACCATTTCATATTTACATCGTTTTCTTAAGATTTATTTATTGTGTGTTCAATGCTCTGCCTCCATGTGTGCCCGCACGCCAGAAGACAGTGCCAGTTCTCAGTACAGATGGTTGTGAGCCACCATGTGGTTGCCGGAAATTGAACTCAGGACCTCTGGAAGAACAGCCAGTGCTCTTACCCTTGAGTCATCTTTCCAGCCCCCTGTTTTTCTCTTTTATTGTTTTTATTGAGCTATACATTTCCCCACTCCTCTGCATGTGTTTTTCTTCATTGTGCTTATGCTGTTGTATTAAAAACTGCTTTACTCAAGATGATGAAATTTACCTGTTTCTTCTTAGAGTTTAGAGATTTAGTTCTTACATGTATATGCCTTTGATGTGTTTTGATTTTTCTCTGTGTATGTCCCCCCCCACACACCTCCTGTCTTTTTTCCTACTTGGAAAGGAAAGCTTCCAGTCTTTACACTGAGTGTAATGTTAGTGCAGTTTTTCAGTAAATTCCCTGTATGATAGAGAAGAATTTCTCGTCTACTCTCAGTTTATACAAATTCATTGCTGTGGATGTTGGTTTCTAGGTATTTTTTTTAATCCAGCATCATTTGCTAAAAAGTCTGTTGTTTTTCTCATCGAATAGTCTTGGCACCCTGCTGCAGATGGCTTTGGTTCTGGACTCACAGTTCTCCTGTCTTAATGCCAGCGTCTGTCCTTGCGCTTGTACAGCACTGTTTGGGAAGTGTGCGTTCTCCCATGTTGTTGTTGTTTGGTTGGTTTTTGCTTTTTTTTTTTTTCTTCCAGACAGGGTCTCTCTATCTAGCCCTGGTTGGCCTGTCTATGTAGATCAAGCTGGCTTTGAACTAGATCCACCTGCCTCTGACTCTCACATGCTGGGGTTCAAGACTTGCACCCCGCTCCCAAGCAGTGTTTTTTTTAATGAAAGTTGACTTTTTTTATTAAATTTTTTTAATACTATCTTTTCTCATTTTATACAGCTATCCCCATTTCTACTCCCTCCCCTCCTACCATCCCAGCCTTTCCCTCATCCCATACCACTTCCATCCACTCCTCAGAAATGATAAGGCTTCCCATGGGGAATCAACAAAGTCGGACACTTCACTCTGAGGCAAGACCAAGGCCCTCTCCCCTATATCTAGGCTGAGCAAGGTATTCCTCCAAAGAAAATGTGCTCCAAGACGCCAGTTCAAGCACTAGGGATAAATACTAGTCTCACTGCCAGTGGCCCACAGACTGTCCAATCCTCACAATTGTCCCCCACATTCAGTGTGCCTAGCTTGGCCCTGTGCAGGTTCCCCTGCTATGAGTCCAAGTCAGTGAGCTCTCTCTAGCTCAGATCAGCTGTTTCAGTGGATAGCAACATCATGGTCTTGACCCCTTTGCTCATATATTCTTGGACTGGTCTCAGGTAGCTTGGTCGAGTGCTTCGCTGCAGCTCTCTGTATCTGCTTCCATCAGTTGCTGGAAGAAGGTTCTATGATGACAATTAAGGTAATCATCAAATTGATTACAGGGCAAGGCCAGTTTAGCTGTCCTCTTCCCTGCTGCTTAGAGTCTTAGCTGGGGTCATCCTGTGGATTCCTAGGAATTTCCTTAGTGCCATGTTTCTCACTAGCCCTTTAATGGCTCCGTCAATCAAAATTATCTCTTTCCTCTCTCTCCCTCTCTGTCCTTCTCCCTTCTTGAGCATCCTGTTCCCTCATATTCTCCTCCTCCTTCCCCTTTCCCCCTCCCCATCTCCTTCCACCTTCCCTCTCAATGTTTTCAGGAGATCTTGTCTGTTTCCCCTTCCCAGGGGGATCTATGTATATCTCTCTTAGGGTTCTCCTTGTTACCTAGTTTTTCTGGGATCTTGGACTATAGGCTGCTTTGCCTTTGCTTTATGTCTAATCTTATGAGTGAGTACATACCATGTTTGTCTATCTGAGTCTGAGTTACCTCACTCGGGTTGTTTTATTTTCCTAGTTCCATTCATTTGCATGCAAATTTCAAGATGTCACTTTTGTTTGTTTGTTTGTTTCTTTTACTACTGAGTAGTACTCCACTTTATCTCTTCTTCAGTTGAGGGGCACCAGTGTCATTTCCAGGTTCTGGTTATTAGGAATAATGCTGCTATGAACACAGCTGAGCAAATTTCCTTGTGGTATGAGTGAGCATCCATTGGGTATATGCCCAAGAGTGGTATTGCTGGGTCTTGAGGTAGATTGAGTCTCAATTTTCTGACAAACCGCAACACTGATTTCCAAAGTAGCTGTATACGTTTGCACTCCACCAGCAATGGAGGAGTGTTCCCTTTACTCTGCATCCTCTCCAGCATAAGCTATCACTGGTGCCTTTTATCTTAGCCATTCTGACTGGTGTACGATCATAGAGTATCACAGAGTCGTTTTAATTTGCATTTCCCTGATGGCTAATTTCTCTGATGTTGAGCAATTCCTTAAGTGTCTTTCGGCCATCTGCAATTCTTCT